AGTGATAATTGTAATAGCTTCTGTTGATTTTGCCGTAGCAGTGTCTTCCTTGACTGCTGAGGAGGCAGCATCGTCGTCCTCGACCACCGCCTCTGCCTCGACCTCCCCGACCGCTACTCCCACATCGGCTTCCACACTGTCGCGCATCACCGCCTCCCCAAAGTCCTCCAAGCTCACCGCATACTCATCCCACTTTTTCTCCGCTTCCACCTTCTTCCCCACCACCGCCTTCCCCTTCTTCACCACTTCCTCCGGCTCCCCCCCAACAAATATATTTATCCCCGCCAAGATCCCCATGAGCACGAGTCCCAACGACACGTACCGGTTATTCGCAATAACTGTCGAAAATGCACTGAAACGCATCATTCGCTCAATTAATACTTCCCCTTACTTCCTCACAGAGCAATGGCATGACTTACATATAGCACCTCGGCACAACAACTCTCCTCACGAATCTCTTGCGCGCCTCAAGTTGATCTCCAGCGACCAACTTCTTGAGATTCCTCCGAAGTATCAAGAACCATTTATACCATTTCGAAGAGCGGTGTTGGTTCTTGTTGCGAATGTGGAGGGTGTTTAGTAATTCAAGGTCGGTTTTGATATCGAATGGTGGGGGCGCCGGCGCTGGTGGGGTGGTGGACATCTTTGCTGGCCGGAAGGGATGGGGGCAGGGGGAAGAAGAAAAAAAAGTTTCAGGCGGGATCGATCGCCAGGCACGTTGCCAAGGTTTTTTCCAGTTCCGTTCGGAATGCTTGGCTGTGGGTGCTTTTTTCGCACTTTGTCTTTTGACGAGTAACTTAGTTTGTGGAGGTTCGGTCCTCACCATGCCCACGACGAAATTGTGGCAAACAGTGATCAATGACGGGTAAATTCTTTTGTTACCCTACCATACTTTGGCGGTCTCCCTTTCTCCTATGATAGCAAATACCCTTGTCCGTCACCCACCTCGTTTGGTCGTGGATGCGATTGGACTGTAGAATACCAGGCGAGAGAGAGGAGGGAATTATGGGGAAAGTATTGGATCCCTGGCCGCGGGTAGCAGTGCGGGACTTGGTATGGCGTGCTGGACAATTTTACTCATCTTTCGACGGACTGCAGAGGATGGAGCTCGACACCTTGGTCTGAACTTGGAATCTCTGATACCGGCCGGAACAGCACGATCCCCACAATGACAGTGTCAACAGAATTATTTTTCGGTATGTCAGAAATGGTGTAATACCTCACTCACTCTCCTCCTGTAAACCTCCCGATTCTCTTCAGCAAGTATTTGCATACCCCGACCAAAAGACTAAGAAGACTATTCTATCCTAACCGCCCCGTAGGACAAGCCGGATTGGCGAAGACCTCAAGTAGTTGAATGTCAGGCGGATTTATAACGGAAGGATGGCCGAGCGGTTATGGCGTGTGACTCAAGCGATTAGCTTCTTCACTTCTAAAGTGGGGTTTCTCATGGGCTTTGCCCGCGGGGGTTCGAATCCCCCTCCTTTCAATCCTTTTTGTGCCTTTTTTTGCTCTCCCGCCCCATTTCTCCCTTAGGGGCCATGTGAGGGCAACTACCGAAACAGCCTCGGTCGGGCCTCCCCGGGACTTTGAGGAAGATTTTTTACAAAACTCTTGAGATGAGAGCATGATGGCTTATGGGCGAGCGGATTACTTTTCCATCAACTTGGCTGGATATCAGATTATGAACCGTGATGGTAGTGGTGATGGTGGTGTCGGGATTAGGTCGGGCGCGGAGAGTAGGTTGGTTTGATGGCGCAATCATAAAGTGTCACTCGGTAAGCCTTGCTATTGTGGCTCGATAGTGGGGGATGATGGCCGAGAAGTTTTTGGAGTCGGAACGAAGAGAAATAGAGAACGGTGGGGTTAATTAGGGCCCTGGATTTTATTCAGACTCCTACTCCTAGCTGTGATACAGCATTCAGTCAGGCCTTTGCGGCTCGTTCAATCTTGCATGATACCGTGTTCAAGCAATTTCCTGTGAAAAAGTGCTTTGGAGGAAAGGAGGTGAATTCCCTTTCATGATTCACCTAGACACTGTACCTCTAGTCCATGGGCTCTGTCATAGAAGCGGTTTGCCATTTAACTGGTCTCAAAAGATTGGGCTTTTAGCTCCCCGTCGGGGTTGCTGGAGTTTTGGCTAAGTTATGTAGGGCGGTATTGAAGGAGGCCTGCTTCTAGGAAGGTTTAGGGGTTTTCCTTATGCACTTTGGGCACTGCTATCATGGGGTGATGATGATGGGTGATTGTATTTTTGTTGCACGTCTGTTATCTTAGATGAAGGATTGGGGTTTTCCTTTAGAATGTAAAGGAAGGGATTTGGTATGGTATTTTCCTGGCTTGGGGTATAATTCCTTTGTGGGTGCGCCAGGAAAATGGGATGTAGCGTTACTTACTCCCGTAAATACTTCCTTTGCCCGTCGCATCCTAGTGGGGTGGGGAGGAGTGAACGCCTCCAGACCTGCTTATGGTGCCATCCAACTTGCATGGCAGGGAGCGAGGGAATTCATCGAGCGGAAAGCCTTTTTATTATGCAACCCGGCTACCTTTTGCTAACTATAGTACATCTCCGAACTCACGTCTAGCAAAAACTCGTGCGAAGTGCATTTTGGTATATTAGTGCACAAACACTACTAACCAACAACAAGACCGATAACAAAGGGCCTATGATACTTTTGATTTTGTGCATGCTCCTATCATACCATACGCTAAAAATAGGGCAACCGTCAGAAAGGCATGGGAAGGCAAGAAAGAATCCACGCGGTGATCACTTCGCACTCAAGGATGTTTCCCTTGTACCTGGCTTATCTATTCCTAATGCGTACTAAGCTTCAGGATGTAAATCCTTCACTACGAGCACTGTTAAATCACCGCAGATATGCTCTCTTGTGCATCTAAATTGTACATTCAAAGGAGAGGTTGTAAAGATATTTATCATATCTACCCCCACTTCCATAAAATATCACACTTTTGGAAAAGAGCAGGAGAGAGCACGCAGGTACAAATAATCGCACTATGCTAGACCTCCGTGTGCTCTTCCGAAAGGAGAATTCTCAACTGCTGGATGCGATTAAAAGGGCGAGCTTCTGCTAGTCTGTTTGCGATAGGGTGGCCAACGAAAAACTCGGGCGGTTGGCTAACATACTTGCACTAAAGGCAGTCACGCTCACAGACTCGTTGCTCGATTCTGTATAGGAAATGGGTTCCGAGAAACTGTAAGAACAATGAGAATAGCCGTTTCTTTCTGTGGTGAAGGGGGTGTAGTGTAGAGCTTGTGGGTTGATGATTTGTGACATTTTAGGCTACGGTGCTGTAAGATTCCAAAACGACTTGAGGAATTGTGTGGGGGTGTTATACGGGAGATACATGACAACCATCTTTGTTCTAAGTTATCCTGGCTTCTCAATCCCGCATGCCTTCTGTTCAATTCTTTTCGCTAAAAAACAGCTCTTCACATGTTTTCTAGTTTGGTTCGACTGAAAACGGGGCCCCGGGGCCTGTAGAGGGTAGGTTGGCACAAAGAGGGATTAGTTTCATTGTAAAACGTCTCCTCATTTTCAGTTCTGTCTTCGGGAATCACTCGGACCCCAGGGGAAAAAAAAATGTCTAGAGGGGGAAATGCTAGTTTTTTCGGCCAAGGCGAGATAAAAAAAGAGAAAGTGTAGAATGACAAGAAGGTGACAACGTACAACGAGTTCTGCTATCCCAAGTCAGTTACCTGTCCTTCACCCATCCGCCACGGCGCCTGCTGCGAAGTAGGGTACAACATTTTCTTCGGCCAGCCATAGGACATCACTCGCCACTTTTGATCACCCAAGGTGTTGAGAAATGTGACAAGGGGAATAGAAGATAGGACGCACAAGCGCCTATATACTATGGGATTTCGTAGCCTCTGACAATGATCTATTCCATACCAAGAAGACTAAAACCCTTGCTTGGTCAAGTATAATTAGTGAAGGCCCCCTTCCTCTCCTTAAAATGAGAGATGCACGGTCAGTGTATAGGGGTGGCATCATCGTAGATTGCTATGGGGGTAGACAGTAAGTAAGTTATAGTGAATCTTGTACCGTGCGGTAAGGCCCTGGCTACTTTTTCGGTTCTATATCGAAGAGCATTGAAACTATTGGCTTTTGGGAAGAAGGAGTGGTGATGGCCGGTGATTGAAGGGATGATGGTGTTGTGCTCGAGGAGGAGGAGGGTGGAAAGATCTGGGTATGCAGCAGGTACTCCGCTATATTGGGGTGTACTAGGCTCGAGGGGATGGGGGATTTGGCATTAGCTCGGAGTAATAACTCCTTACCCGCTCTTTCATAGACGTTCTGGTTAGCCCAAGCAAGTGGTATCCTGCCCACAATATCCACTGAGCTGGGGTTAACACTGGCTCGGTCTAGGGGCGCCCTATCCGCTCCTTCTCAGTCATTCCTAGCAGCACAAGTAAGCGGGGTTTCCCCAAGCCATCTAATAAATTGAGGCTGTCCTTAGCTTGTTTTAGGAGTATTTGAACTACTCCTCCGTGGCCGCTCTTAGAAGTATAGGCAAGTGGCGGTTCCACTAAACCATCTAATCGACAATTTCATGACCACTCTGAGTAGCCCAGGCAAGCGGTATTCGGTCAAAGCAATCTGCCGTGTTGGTGTCGACAACGGGTCGCTCTACAGGCTTCCTAGCCTCGCTCCCCTCATGACCACTGGCTGAGAGCAAGTGTTTGCCTTCACGAGGGCTGCAAAAGACATTGGGATTCGCAGAACAATTTTCTTGTAAATTCGCATGTATAAGATGGGCTACAGAGGTTTCGCAGCCAATCGTGACTAATCTAAGGTAGCATCTAAGCACGGACTCTATCGAGAGGATAATTCGGGTGCTTATGCACGCAAAATCCGACCTTCTGTGCACGGACATGGCATAACTTATCGACCGAGTTCCCTCCGCCAGAGGGATCCCCATCAATGTCGCAACGCGTAGTCTTGCTGTCGTTCTGTCCTTTCTGGATAAAAAATATGGGCCCGATTCCGGGATCGAACCGGAGACCTGTCACATGCCAAGAATAGTTCATTGGGGGAACTCCCGAAGCGACAATCATACCACTAGACCAACCGGGCCACTTAAGAATCTCTTGAAAACAACACCCACAAGGCTATCTCTCAACCTCTTTCCCGATTTCCATTTCTTCCACCCAATCCAAAACAACACATCATATCACCACATCCACAACCACCACCACCATCAACCACCACAACCACAACAATGTCCTCAAACGTCGGCCTCTCCACCCCCCGCGGCAGTGGTACAAGCGGGTACGTCCAGCGCAACCTCTCACACTTAAAACCTCGCGACTACCCACCTCCCACCTCTTCCTCATCCGCCACCGCCTCCAACACCCGTGAATACCGCCAGCGTCAGCCAGACAAAGAAATCCTCGAACACGACCGCAAGCGTGGAGTCGAAGTCAAATGTTTGGAATTCCGAGATAAGCTTGAGGACGAAGGAGTCGACGAAGACGAGATTGACGAGCGGGTGGAGGTTTACCGGAAGGAGTTGTTGGGGGAATTGGAGAGGGAGGGGGAGGGATGGGATGTGACTGGGGGGAAAGGAGGAGGAGCGAGGAGAGGGGGGTTTAAGCCGCATCAGGTTCATGAAATTGCGGCGGCGAAGGCTGGTGGGTTTTCCTTCCTTCTTTCTTTCTCTGGTTCTTTTGGGGGGCGGAGGGAAGGAAGGTGGCTAATGTCTGACGGGGGAATAGTCGAAAGTGAGAGATTGCGCAATGCGTTAGGGATTTCGAAGGATTATCGGGAGGTTTGTGGCACTTTTCTTGATGTTATTTTATATACTTTGTTGGAATGGGGGTTACTGGTTGCTGACGCGCTGGTTTTTCGTTGGTGGGTACTGTAGGGAAGTCATTGGAAGAAGCAAGAGGAGGAACGACAGAAACGCTTGGAGGATAGAGAGAAGGAGATTGCGGCAAGTAGGAGGAGGAGTGCTTCTCCGGCTTAAGCCTTTTTTCTCTTTCTTTCTTTTGCGTCTTGTCTACGAATCAGAATGCGATTCCTTGCTACAATATCATGCAGTGCTTTTTGTTTTTGCTTCAGCATGGGATTACGGGTATGAGGAGATTGCTCTACCCATCTACTTGAGGTTGTGGGGGTGTATAATTCCAGTTTTTACCATTGGCGCTATTGTATTGACCCCCAGGCTGTAGTCTACCTTCTCTCATGCTTTGGTGCAGAACACACTCAAGTACAGCACTGGTATGATACAACCAAAGCTTAGTCCCTACGGCTAAACACTAGTGACGGCACTCCACATCTACCCACCAAACCAACCATCCACCTTCCTCAACCCCACCCCATCCCGATCCAATTCTACCCTACAACCCCTACAATGCCAAAGCGCCTAGATCCCCACGAAGGTCCTTTCCTCCCGCCTCCCCCCTACCCCACCCCACCAAAACTAACAAGTACACCGCAGGTAACCCCGATCACGCCGCCCTCGAAGCCACCAGAGGCGCCGTCAGCGGCGCAATCCGAGTCCTCCCCCCGCCCCCTCCTCCACTCACGACCAAACTAACAATTCCACAGTGGGGCACATTCTCCCTCCTAGCCGGCGTAGTGGCCTACCTCTCCAGCCCCATTTTCCGTAACCTGACTGTCCAGTTTAAAGTTTATTTATGGATGTGTCCGACTGTTGTTGGGAGCATGATTGAGGCTGATAAGTATGTTTCCACCCGCACGAGAATCGACGGGGGGCTAATCGGGTAGTCGGCTGCGGGGCTACGAGAGTATGATACGCAGGCGCAGGCGCGCTGCCATGGAGGACGCACGGGAGCGGGCATACGTTAGGGAGATTGAGGAGTTGGAGAGGAGGGGGAGAGAGTGAGAAGTGTGCACTGTATGATGTGACGAGATATCATATGAAGGGAGGGGAGCATGCTGGAGGGGGTTGGTATATCATCATTCGCTCAGGATTCATTGCGCAAGTTATGAAAGGCAGGAAGTAATGTGAATCTCGGATTAAGATCTCTTCGCCGTGGGGTATAAATTTAACATATCAGCACGGGTGAAGAAAAACATTATTCACCCTCTATAGTTATGCCAGACTATATCCGAGAGCCCGATGGCTCTTTATAGCACCAAAACAGGGTGGGCAGGCCCCAAAACCTGATCCTCTAAGGTCATTAAAACGTTGTAGTTGAGAAAGTGAAACATCACCCCCGCTGATCCTCCTCCGGCCAAAGAAGCAATTGCACGAGCAATCGCACTCTCCGATCTCCAACCCTTGAGAACCTCCATTATCCCCAGTTTGCCTCTAAACCCCAAACAGACATATCAACCAACTCCAAAACATGTCAAATATTTTTTTCTGATGAAAAGGAAAAAAAAAAAGCAACGGAAAAGCATAGCGCCGCCCCAAATTACAAGGGAAATGATACTAAAAAGACGTATACTACAAAACCTACAACACCGGTAAAGATTATACAGTCAAATCGATGTTATTAAAACTATACTTCATGCTTTGGCAGTCTCTTGAAACCAGCTCCGACTGCGGCCTCCCGGCGCGGCCACCACCAGGGTGATGGCTGCTCGGTGTAGTTTGTATTGCGAAAATGGAGTCTCCTGTAGATCCAAAACCCGGTAATGTATAGCGTGATGGCAAGAGAGAATCCGGAGACAGTCAGGAAGAGCCAATGCTGACCCATCCAGAAGATGGTTTTGGCATCGCTGGAATGCCATGAGGAGCCCTTGTAAACCGCAAAAAAACTCCAAGGGTTCTTATTATATCTATGATTCATGATTAGCTGGTTGGTAAGCCTAAGTAGTGAGGGGCTGGCTTACTCTTCGGGCATGAGAACTCTGACCCTTTCCTCCTCGGTTGTTCCCCAACGGATGTATTCCTTCCAGACAACACTGAGGAACAGCGGGCCGGTGCCATACATCACAGTAATGTAGGGAACATGCCAATTACGATTATAGGTTTGAAGATTTTCGATAACACGCAAGAAGAACGGATGTTGTGGAACAGCACCCATGGCATCGTTGGAAATACCAGTAGGAATAGTCTTTCGAACCCAAGCGCGGTACGAGAGTAACGGATCTAGTCGCCGGTTGCAGCCCTGGTGAAAATGATTAACAGCGGTAACGTGACCTCCTATTCATCGTTCAACTCACATCGTCCATATCAATATAGATGCCGCCGAAATGTGCCAAGACGAAGTATCGAATAGCATCGGCGCGCATGATGGGGTAAGGATAGCTATCGTACGTTTCGATGAACCACGGGTACTCCTTAACTACAAAGTCCCTCGCTTTCTCATTTGTCCAGAGCTAGACGATCACCGAATTGATTCAGCCAAGACCCTTTCTTCAACATTTAAAGTTTTTGCCCCTGACAGGAACAAAAATAACCACAAACGAACCTTATACTCGTAATCTCCATGCAAGTCCAGGCACGACTGTTGAGCCTTCTGCCATTTCTCAGGAATAGTCTCGTTTTGCCATGTTTGGTGAATGATTTTCGGAATTAGTTGGGGTCGTGAATCGATGAGTTGTGAATTAGGGGCTGGGATATCGACAGAATGAATGGCATCCGCTGAACAGTCCTCGAACAGCAGAGTAATAAGGGTGAACAGAAAATTCACCAGAAATCCGATAATGATGAGGTTGCACACCAGGAACAATATTAAACCTTTGCGCATGACGGCGATCGAAGTGCTGGTGCAGAAGGAAGAAAAGGGGGAGGAGGAAAAGTTGACGAGGCCCCCCAAGAAGAGGGTAAAAGCTATTTGAGGCTGAAGAGAGGCGATAAGGCGTAGACCGTTGGAGTCGAAGAAACGAGGAAATTAAAAAGCCTATAAAGAAAACGAAGAGGAAACAGACCAGACTGTAAGAAGAAGAAAGGGGTATTTGCCAAAGGAACGGCGGGGGAGATTAGGGGAGGGGGAGTTAAGAGGGAGCGGACGTGGGAAAATGACGGGAGAGACAGGAAGGGCTGGAAATTATTATTTTCCACTTGAGCGAGCGAGATGCAGAAGGAGAGCAGGCGGGAGCGAGCGAGACAAGCTAGAAGGGGTAACTGGGAAGAGACATCAATCCTGTACGAGTACTTGCCAATTGGTAAAGTATCTGGAAACGGAGGTGCCAAGATACTCGAATTTGGGCGTGAAACACCAGTTCTTGGCACTTGTTTTGTCCGAATACTTTATGAACGGACGAGTAGCTGGGGCGTCGTGGGCTGAGAATGGGATCCTTGAATGGAGTATCTATGCAGGTCACCTGTACTCGAGTAACAGACCAACATGAAATGCCGTATGATACGCTAAGGTAACAGTTATTATCACTTCTAACAACCCACCAATGCATCACGGTTAATCCATAATTACTGAACAAATAAATTCCCCTTTCCGCTTGTAATATTTGATTCGGATACAAAGAAGAGCAGATTTATGATGGTTCCGATTTCGATCCTCAAGTGGCCTCCCTACCCAGAGACAGGAACTAGCCCAGCTGGCTATAATTTACTGGAGAGCCAGCACACCTGCACCATTTTTGTGAGTGCAATTTTCGTCTGTGTTTCCCCAGAACTTACACCTTTCCCTCCTTTTCTTTCTTTCTTTCCGGCCCCAGATCTACTGTGCTTGCCGTGCTTGTAGGGCGTGGGCAGCTGGATGCTTCATACCACCGCGCTGCTACTGGCTGATTTATCGTGCAAAGACCTCTTTTCCTCGTGCGCGATAGGATATTGACGAGATAGTATGAAAGCCGCGCGTTCATCGATCAACTCTCATTTTCCTCTGCTAAAAAAAAGGATTGGTAGGATCTAACTCTACCGGTAATTCACTCAAGTTTGCCGAACAATAGCGGTGTTCAGCTCCAGGGTCGGAATATGTTTATGCAAGTTTTTTTAGTTGGGCAAACCCACATGAGGCTTGGCACTCGAAAAGCGCTTTATCGACTCCGCCTCTGATGCCTCCTCTTTTTTGATTGAGGATTTCTAGAGGCGTCAGCCCCCCGCAGCGACCGACCCCGCCGCTCCGGACGGAGGCAGCTCCGCAGTCTTGGTTGCTGGTTCGCATCTCAACCCTGTGCCTGAGTTTATCGAGTCCCGC